GAGAGTTAGATTTATAAATCCCAGTAAAATTAATGTATGGATAACAAGAACAGACCTGCACGTAAGCAGCAGCAAACGTTAAGTGCCATGTGGGCTGAGAAGCCGGTTAAATTAAAAAGAAATCATAAAATGATGATGAGTGTAAGATATGTTGTAACCTAACAACTGTGTCCACATCAACAACACTGAAAAGAGAGTACCATCAACTTGAATAACAAACTAAAGGTAGTGAGTGACCATGGGTGCCCACAGGTAGGGGCAAGGGGGGCACTTGCCCCCCCTGGATTGATTGGATAAATTTTTTTTAGACAAAAATAGACAAAAAATTTATTTAAGTAAAGAGAAAATAAAGAGAAAGTAACTAAGCTGATGTCCTGTCCGTTCGTTCACCATACAAATACGCTACTGTAAATTAAAAATATATTAAAACATTACTACAAATTTTTTGCCCCCCCCCCCTGGAAAGTTAATCGATTTTTTTCGCCCCCCCCCCTAGAAAGTTTTCTGCGGGCGCCCATGTGAGTGACTTGACCATTCCACACTCGCAGGAGTCTTGAAGCGGCAATTCATCACTATCGACATCACTCAAATTTGACACTGAAATATCAACACATAATAATTTTGGCTGTGTTATGGCCATCAATGATTTCGATTTAAGTCGATATCTAAAGTCAACATCTCAACTGTCAGATAGTTTTAAAATATTGTTTACTCACCACTCCATACCGATCAATATCTACTTACCTTACAATCTCAGTCTCAGTGAGGACAGACCTATAAAAAAAATGTTTTCGGCTTGATCAGTGTTCTCCGTGGCTTGCCTTCTTTTCTAGTCATCTTAAAGATCCAGCACCGTATCTATATTTTATATTGTTGCCCCACAACACACTCATCGCGGGTACCAAGGCGCATTTGTAGCACCACCCTTCACCAAGTAAAATAAGTTTCCTAAAGGTGGTCGTACCGGTATATAATTACTAACCAATATACTTATACCGTACCGGTACCGGGCGTGGACCGAGATTGCATTCGAAAAATAAAGACTTCAGAGATGCAGCCCTCCTGTGCCCCCTCTGGCACGGGCGAGATCTCTCTCTCCCTCCCTCCCTCTCTCTCACACACACTCTCTCTCTTAGCCTAAACGCCCGCTGTTTTTGTTTCACCTTACGTCAGGTTTTCCCACAACCTACTTGCTAAATTTCTTAAAACAACAACCAGCACGTAGCCCTCCCCATATTACACATTTAACATAATTTTAACAGGTTAAAACCAGGGATTATTTTTAAAAACTGAGAACTGTCCCGGGTGGCACTTTTGTTAAAGCTTATTATTAACACTAAATGATAGATGTGTGTGTGGTGGTGGGGCGTGATATTGAATTGCGCGGTGTTACGCACTGGCTTCTTTTGTGAGAAATTAATCTCCAAATTTTAATTTTATGGCTCGTTCAAACAGTGCCTAACAAAGGACGATACCATAGAGAAATTCAATAACAAAAAATACGACAACCAAAACAGTTGCCAATTACAACTAGCAAGATTTAATTTAGTAATAATACAATTACAAAACAAAAGAAAATATAATTACAAATCATCAACTTACAGAATATCGGAAAATCTTGTACCGGTACACAATTAGTACAATGTGCCAATTAATAATGATGAATGCGAATAAACACATATGATCACACAAAGAATAATACAATTGTCTCGTAAAGTTAATAATATCTATCTGAATGTCTCTCTCTCTCCGTGTCTGTCAATCCCTTTATATATGCAGCGTAAGCACTGCCTTCCAGAAGCCACTCAGCATTTGTTTACGTTTCTCGGCAAATCGAGAACCGTCGACAAGAGACTAGGAGACAGACTAACCATGTTTAATTGGTCGTCGGTAGTAAACATGATACATCAAAGAGATTAACCACGCCCACAAGATAAACCACTGGACACAACGCAACGCTTGAAAAGAAAACCCGTGTGTGTTGGATACGTAAGGGAGCTATTTCTCATTTGATTAATAAGAAATGTATTTCTTTTTCTCCAAAATATCTACATAGCTTGGTAATGGGAAATATATTTTAGTCATGAGAATATTATAGCCTGCAATTCTAGCACATTACTTCTATCTTTTCCTAGTACATGTATAGGAAATAATGAATCGACCCCTAAAAACAACGTTTTTCATATGAATCCTTTCTAAAATGTAATATCAAGCAAAGTGGGGAGGGGGGGGGGGGGGGTGGGAGTGAAAAATTTGGTTAACATGTATACAAGTAACGCCCTTTTAAAGAATCCCAATTAGTGCCCCCCTTCCCAGGCTCACAATCGCACATTTTTTCACGCCCCTGAACTATAGTAAAATTCTCATGACCCACCTGCTTTTACGCATATTTATTTAACCAACTACAGTGGAAACTCTCATAATAACGAGCATAATTCGTTCCAGAATCTTACTCATTATCATTAAGCGAAACACTCGTTAAACGAAACAATTTTTCCCATACAAATCAATGTAAAATACGATATTGCGTTCCATGCTGAAAAAATACTAATCTTTCAAAAAATTTTTATTAACATTTATTCAAATAAAATTACTTATGAATTGTTAAGGAGTGTAACGACTTGGAATACAATTTAGATTTCAAACAAAAAACGTAAATAATAAAAATATTAATTTATGACAAATAATTATTCCGTTTTAACTAGAAAACCGTCTATAGACATTTGTTTTTGCCGACGCTTCAAAATTTGACGAAAATGTGTCACAGCATTATCATTGAATAAATTTGTAGCACGAAATACCACCTCCTTATTAGGGTGATGCTTCTCAATGTACGATGCAACAGTTTCCCATGCTTTCAGCATTTCTCTTATTGCGCTAGAGGATTGTTGCTCTGCTACTTCCTCCTCCATTAATGAGCTCTCCTCCATAATTTCTTGCTGTGAAACACGATGCAACTCCATTAGCTCTTCGGTGGTCAACTCTTGACTGTGCTCTTTCACAAGCTCTTCAATATCGTTGTCGTCCACCTCGAGTCCCATGATATTGGCCAATAACACAATCTCGTTAACTGTCGACTCCACAGGTACTGTTTCAAAATCACATTCAACAACACTCTCTGGCCAAAGTTTTTTCCAAGCAGAAGTGAGGGTCCTCTTGGTAACTCCTTCCCAAGCCTTGTCAATCATCTTGAGGCAAGCAACGATATGAAAATGATCTTTCCAAAACTCTCTAAGAGTGAGACTTGTCTCTTCGGTAACTTCAAAACAACGCTCGAAGAGTGTTTTAGTGTAGAGTTTTTTAAAGTTAGAAATAACCTGCTGGTCCATAGGCTGGAGTAACGGAGTGGTGTTAGGAGGCAGAAACTGGATATTGATGAAATTAAATTCTTCATGAATATCACCTTGTAGGCCTGGAGGATGAGCGGGCGCATTGTCCATAACAAGCAAGACCTGGAGAGGAAGATTCATCTCAAGTAAATATTTTTTTACGGAAGGACCAAACTCTTCATTGATCCAATCAGTGAAAATCTCACGTGTCACCCAGGACTTCTTGTTGGATCTCCACATCACATTTAGTCTGCTCTTCTGGACATTACACGTCTTAAAGGCTCGTGGAGTTTCTAAATGGTAAACAAGCAGCGGTTTAATTTTCAAATCGCCGCTTGCATTGGCACAAAATAGCAGCTTGAGGCGGTCTTTCATTGGCTTGTGGCCTGGCAATGCATTCTCTTCTGCTGTTATATAGGTTCGCTTTGGCATTTTTTTCCAGAAGAGACCCGTCTCGTCACAATTAAAAACTTGTTGGGGCAGGTAACCCCCAAGATCTATGAGCTTCTTGAAGTCACTGATGAAGTTCTCTGCTGCTTTTGTATCAGAGCTTGCTGCTTCACCGTGCCTCCCAACGCTGTAGATACCGGTTCTTCTCTTAAACTTCTCGAACCAACCATGACTTCCCTTGAATTGTAGTTCTTTTTCGGCAGTAGATGATCCTGGTGTTTTCTTAATGAGGTCAGCGAAAATAAGTTTCGCCTGCTCACAAATAATGTTTTCTTTAATAGCGTCGCCTTGTAATCGCTTCTCGTTTATCCATATTAGAAGCAACCTCTCAACATCATCAAGAATACGTAACCGTTTCGTAGACATTCTTGACACTCCCTTTGAAGCACCCATCTCCTTAATTTTGTTTTTGTTCTTGAGAATAGTGCAGATCGTTGATGTTGACCGATTGTATGTCCGCGCTAGATTAGCCACGCTCACACCTTGCTCTCGCTTTTCAATGATTATACGTTTCATTTCAACAGTTATTTTTTCTCTCTTTTGATTGTCTTCTTGTGGTTTTTTCTTCGAAGACATTTTAGCACAGGTTATTACACTTTGCACATACAAAATTACGATTACTGTCTGAATACAAAATTTGTAAAAACTGGTGATCACACACGAGAACAATACGCTAACAGATCGAGTGCTAAACAGACAAATGCATCGGCGCGGAAGTCCCGGCTCACAAATGAATGTTGGGAGTTCTGCGTAACTCGTAATGCGAAATGTCGCTCGTTAAGGGAGCACCTTCTTCACATTTTTTTGCTCGTTATGCGAGTTACTCGTTAAGAGAGGTGCTCGTTATGAGAGGTTCCACTGTATTTCAGAAAAACAAAATAAAATATTACGCACCCGCACCAAACGCACTTTCGATATAATTTTTTTAAATTTCTAAAAATTGTTAATATAAAAATTGGGTAAATTGAAGCGTTATGTGGTTGCCAGTTTGTTCCTATCGATATAAAAAAAGCTAGATTACTTTTACATGTAAAATGATTAAGTTAAATAGATTTTTAAAAACACATATAAATGTGATTAAATTTAATCCCCCTAAAATGAAGAAAATTACTACTCTGAAATAAATACAGACATCCTGTTTCATACTCTTCAATTGCAATTTTTTTCTGGTTTAATAAGACTTTATTTCTTTCTGTAGGGTTTTATTTAACATTCCTGGCCAGTGAGAGAAAGTAATGGCGGAAGTGTAGTTATTATGATGATATATTTCGACTACTTTGGTAGAAATGATGCTTAGAACACATCTTTTCGATTAAATTGTGAGTTTTCTGAGCATTTATAATTTTGTTGATAATTTGTTGAGTTAATTTTTTATAAGTTAGACTAAATTAGTCACTTATCTCGTTCCCGTTTCTTCTTTATTTTCTCCTCGAGCTACTTACTTATGACATTTTCATTTGTTAGGCATAATCATAATCATTATTCAGCCTATTCGCCTATTCAATAATATATTCAGATTCATCAACTAAATACGGTAATAAAAAAATATAATAATAATATTGGATAATTGTGTGGAATTGTATTCAGTACTACTACTAGTATTTATTTGATGATCCACCCGGGGTGATGTTTTTGCTTGACTGGCCTTTGGCTGGACTTGAACACCAGACCACCAACTTGAGGTTTGCTCAGTTTAGACCATCTAAGAGAAGGAAACTCTGAATTCAAACCCGGAGTTGGAGTCCCGTAAGGTGCAATTAATGACAATTCCTGCAACCGAACCCATGCCTGGTCGTCTTGACGTAGAGTCTTGCCACTGGATATCGTGGGCTCGGACGAGAGAGTGAGGTAGACGCCTGCGCAACTCTTCTTCACTTTAAACAAAGTCACCCGCGCAAGTCATCAGTCACCAGACGACTCGATGGTCCTCGTCGATCCTCGACGGACGAACAATAAATATTTATTTGATGATATTTTTGACATATTATTTTGGCATTAAGTTTAAGGTCTTCAAATTTAGTAATTTACCTCAGTTTAAGTTGAAATTTACAGACGTCTGAGTATACAATAGTATACATACTTACACTTACATACTTTACTAATTTACTGACCACTCACTGAAAAATGACAATGGGGAATGGACCATTGACAGTCCATTGAGGACAAGCTAATTTACTAAGTCTGTATTATTATAAATTATGAGTTACGCACTGCTATCCATAGGGAGAAATTAATCTCCTATTTACATGTATGGCTCGTTCCGAAACAGTGCATAACAAGACAATACCAAATGTTAAAAACAATAACAGAGAATACGACACTCAAAACAGTGTCAACTGCAATTAATAAGTTTTATTAATTTGCTATTTAATAAAATAAAAATAAAGATGTACAATTAAAATCACCAACTTACAAAAAATTGTATGGATGGTTCCAGGACAATGTCAAAATAAAACACAGTGTGCAGAAATGTACAATGTACAAATAATGAAAATATGTCTACTGTAAACAAACTATCACACATTACAAAATAACCCTCACACGCTGCTGTCTGCGTATCTGTTCTGCAGTCTGCTGTGTCATTCAACCACTCACCTTATATATAGACCATCGTCTGTTTCATGGAATTTTCTAGGCCTATTGTGCATTTTTTATTAGTGACTGAACATTCTACAATTTACTACTATTTTTTACCACATTCAAGTCAAGACAAACAGGCGTTAATTATTTTTAGTTGGTAGTGATAGTAAACAAGGCCAAGATCAAAGGGAATAAGCCACGCCCAATACTAACTCAGCCAAATTGGGTCAGGCAGAGTTCACGGCAAGGGGAAATGTGACATAAACACATCTGCTACATAACAATACTATGAAAAAAGTATGAATATGACTATGAATTATAGCTGGTTCTATATTACTAATATTACTCTATATCAATATCAATATGATATATCAAATTTAATCATCAGTACCCAGTATCAGATATATCAAATCCAAAGATTGATCATTTAAAAATTTATTTATGAAGATGATCTCATTCACTCCATTTATTTTATTTATTAACATTTTCCACATTTACTGAAACTGAATCAATGAATAAAATAAAAAGTGAATTACTCAGTACTGACCTGATCTAAACATATTTTAACCAAATTGATTTTTACTCATTTATTAAATTAGGCTCTTAAAAACTATAATTCATTTAGTATTTAGTTTAGTCATTAATTAAGGAGCCTAATAATAAGTAAAAATCAAAAGGGTCAAAATATTTTTAGGTCAGAAGCCATTACACATTCTCAATGCATTATACAACACGAACTACAAGGGATTTACATATTATGATGACGATTATTTATTATGTATGATTATATTTAAGGGAAACTTAATGAAATCCTGAAAAGAAAAATGGGAAAAAAGAATTAAAAATGAAATGAGTGTTTTAGTATAAAAATGTCTTAACTAATATTAATAATAAATAATAGAATTTTAGTAGGCCTCTATTTAAATGTTATTTAATTAGAGGCCTATTATTACTATTTATTATTTGGCTAAACTATTAGTATTATTGACCGTTACATTAAAAGCCTATTTCTGTCATTAGTATTATTAATAGGCTGGTTGATTTTTAAAATATTTCTACTTTTTTATGTTGAGCATTAATTTGCTGAGTAGTAGGAGGCCAACTGTTAGAATTAGTTAAGGGCTATTCCCGGCATGCCGTCACCCCACCTCTTAAAAAAACGCTTTCGCGTCAAATCCCTTAGAAAACCTTGACTTTCATATTGATATTGAAGTCCTGTTTATTTTTTAAATAGCTATTGTCTTTTTAACATGGAAAGACTACTGGAGCATTATTTAAGTTCCTAAGCAGCGTGTTAGTGAGTAAAAACTTATTATTTGATCAAACTTGCCAGATAGCTTTAGAGATGCTGTGTGTAAAAGAACAAAATGGCCTATTCATATTTTTTACATAGGCTGATGAGAAATCCATCTATTTATAATCCATTACACAGAAAAAGGCAATTAATGGACGGCAACAAAAAACATTCAAAAATTGGATCACAATTTTTCTATATTTGCAGGGTATCAAAGGACATTATTATTCATTAATTAGGCCTATGCAATTTTCATACCCATGTAGGCCTATTAAAATTAAAGTTAAGCTATAGGCCTATTTAATAATGTATAGGCTTAGGCAATCCCACTGAACTATGAACAATATCAGGATTTCCAAATTTAACTCAAAATTTAATATTATTAACAATGATCCTAATTGCTTAAGATCTAAACACTACTTAGTCTACTTATACTAATTATACTGTGACAAACTATCTGTATGAATGCACAAGTATTACAATTCAATTGTTTTATTTATTATGTATGTGCTGTAAAGGGATGGAAACATTCTGTAGCAGCATTTCGGCTTAGACTTTCATTCTATATAATATTGAGAATTGGTTCAGTCCTTAAAATAAAGGGAATGTCATTACGATTTGGAAACATATTGAAAATAATTTACCTTAAGGATTTTTAAAGGCTTGGTACAATTGTATAATAAGTGGTCATTTATTTTCATTAAAAAAATGTTCAGGTTCCTTTTCAAGCTGATTCTAAGCATGCCAAGCCTAACTTCCTTACCCTTGAGCCTCTCTGAAATATTAGAGGCTCAAGGAGGACCTTTGCGAGAGCTTGAAATCTGGGCTCTCCTCTGCCAGTGTGCAGAAGCTCTTCAAGATCTTATAATAAAAGGTGAGTCATTTTTTAAAATGTTTCTTAAATTTTTATTTGGCATTATAGAACCAGTGATTTTCTCTTCCACTTGTTAAAAATAACTGAATGAAATATAAAGACTGAGAAAATTTTACAATTAAAGAAAATATAAAAAAAACCAAAACAAGAGCTTATATTAATGCTAGCTCTTGAAGCCAACAATTAGTATTTATGTCAATATTTTGCATAGTCCAGAAATAGCATCATAACTCTTCAGTGCTTTCTAAAATTCCACTTAAGTTATCTTCACTTATTTTTTTTTAAGGACTGCATTGTGAACAATCTCAATTGGATATTAATTTATTGAATAATGTTACTGTTTTTAGATGTTTAGTTACAAACACTGGATTAAATAAGTAGATATATTTTTAACTTGTAGTGCTGAAGTGGAGTCCAGGAGGTCCTCATTTTACTGAAGGGGGGGGTTCTGTTTTTCAATGGCGATGAATTTGAAATTGGCAGTAATTCCCTACCAACACATAAACTACATGTATATAAGTACAGTTAATTTACATATGTACATGTAAATATTTGTGTACCGGTATAGTAAAATACATATTTATGCATGTGCATACATGAAATTTAAGCTATTAAAAAATATTTAAGATACTAAAACATAAAAATAACTACAACCAAGTGCACACAGGATGTCCGCTGGTCTCTCTCCTCTTTCACTTTGTCTGTTGTTGTTGAGCCTTCTCGTCCATGAGGGGCATCCACCGATCATCGTCGGCGTCTGCGGTTCCTCCAAGGGCATAGGCCACCTATGAGAGACCTCCAGGCATCTCTATCCTGGGCCAGTTTCTCCAGGATCTTCCATTCATGGCCAATTTTCTTGATGTCTGTCTCCAATTCTCGGCGCCAAATGTTTCTTGGACGGCCTCTTTTCCGCTTACCCTGTGGGTTCCATTTCAGGGCTTGCTTTGTTGTGTTAGAAGCAGGTTTTCTTAGTGTATGACCAATCCACCTCCACCGCTTCTGGAGAATCTCTTCCTCAATGGGCTTCTGTTTTGTCCGCTGCCACAGTTCCTGGTTGCTGATTTTGTCTGGCCAGTGAATTCTGAGAATCCTTCTTAGACAGTTGTTGATGAAGGACTGGATTCTGGTCAGGTTTACGGCCGTTGTTCTCCATGTCTCGGCTCCATATAGCAGCACAGGTTTTACCATAGCGTTAAAAATCCTTACTTTTAACTTGCTGCCTAAGTTGTTAGAGACCCAAACATTCTTGAGTTGTTGGAAGGCTGCTCTTGCTTTTCCTATCCTTATTTTGACGTCCGCATCTGTACCACCTTGTTTATCTACCATGCTGCCAAGGTAAACAAAACTGTCCACCTCCTCAAGGGCTTCTCCTTCAAGCATAATGGGTGATGTACTGGTGGCATTAACCTTGAGGATTTTACTCTTCCCTTTGTGAATGTTGAGACCCATGCTAGCAGAAGTGGCTGCGACAATGTTTGTTTTCTCCTGCATCTGTTGTTGGGTATGTGCAAGAAGTGCAAGATCATCAGCAAAGTCAAGATCATCCAGTTGATCCCACAAGGTCCATTGGATGCCATTTCTTTTCTGCTGTGTAGATGTTTTCATCACCCAGTCAATGGCTAACAGGAAGAGGAATGGTGACAGCAAGCAACCTTGTCTCACACCAGTCTTCACCTGGAAAGCATCTGTCAACTGCTGGCCATGGATAACTCGGCAGTTTATCCCTTCGTACATGTTTCTGATTATATCAGTAATCTTCTGTGGCACCCCGTAATGCCTTAGCAATCTCCACAGGGTTTGCCTGTCAACACTGTCGAAGGCTTTTTCATAGTCAACAAAGTTGACATAGAGCGGCGAGTTCCACTCTAGTGACTGCTCTAGAATGATGCGCAGTGTCGCTATCTGGTCCGTGCAGGATCTGTTGGTGCGAAAGCCGGCTTGTTCGTCCCGCAACAGAGGGTCTACAGCGTTTTTCATCCTGTTAAGTAGTACACGGTTGAAAACCTTTCCTGGGATGGACAGCAGGGTGATCCCTCTGTAGTTCGAGCAGGAGCTTAAGTCTCCCTTCTTTGGGATCTTGATAAGGTATCCCTCTTTCCAATCGGAAGGAACTTGCTCCTCTTCCCATATCTTCATAAACAGAGGGTGTAGCATTTCCACACTGGTTTCCAGGTCCGCCTTCAGTGCCTCTGCTGGGATGCCATCAGGTCCCGCAGCCTTTCCATTTCTGAGTTGTTTAATGGCCCTGCTAATCTCTTCTTTGGTGGGACTATTACAGTCAATTAGCAGGTCATTATCGGCTGGTTGGATATCTGGTGGATTTCTTGGTTCAGGCCTGTTCAGGAGCTCTTCAAAGTGTTCCTTCCATCTCCCTCTCTGTTGCTCCTCACTTGGTATGGTGTTTCCCATTTTGTCCTTCACTGGTCTCTCTACCTTGCTAAATTTCCCTGACAGCGTCTTAATGGTATCAAACAGTTCCCTCATGTTCCCCTGGTGAGCTGCATCCTCTGCTTCTTTAGCAAGTTTATCAACAAATTCCTTCTTGTCCCTCTTGATGCTTTTCTTAACTTCCTTATTTGCATCTGCATACTCCTTCTGGGACTTGTTTTTCTGTGCTCGGGTGCGGCTGTTATTCACTTCTGATTTCTTTCTTTTCCTTTCTTCTATTTTATTCAGCGTACCTGCTGTCATCCATTCTTTGTGTGCCTTTTTCCTGTTTCCTAGCACTTCTTGACATGTTGACTGGACTGTTTCTTTCATGCTTTGCCACTTTCCTTCGGTGGTTTCATCTTCAAGTATTTCTTGTAGGACTTGGAACTTATTGAATAGTGAGATTCTGAATTCTTCCTTTTTGGCTTGGTCCTTCAGGAGGGAGGTATTATACCGAGTCCTGTATGCTGTTTGCTCGGTATAATGTCTCTTTAGTTTTAATTTCATCCTGGCCACAAGAAGATGATGATCTGAGGCAATATCAGCTCCCCTCTTAACACGTACGTCTTGGAGAGATCGCCTGAATTTTTTACAAATACATACATGGTCTATTTGGTTCATCGTTCTCATGTCCGGAGAGACCCATGTAGCTTTGTGAATCCTCTTGTGCTGGAAAATGCTCCCCCCTATGACCAGGTCAGCTGTGGCACATAGGTCCGCAAACCTCTCACCATTGTCGTTCATCTCGCCTATCCCTTGCTGTCCCATAACCTCTTCGTACCCTGTGTTGGTATTGCCGATCTTGGCATTAAAGTCTCCCATGAGGATGACGATGTTCCTCCGTGGGCGACCCTGGACTATGGTCATTACTCTATTGTAGAATTCTTCTTTGTCTCCTTCATCACTTTCATTAGTTGGTGCGTAGCATTGTATAACATCTAGGTTGATGCTACGTTTCTTTGTTCGAAAGGTTGCTAAAAGGATTCTAGGTCCATGGGCCTCCCATCCAATGAGTGCTCCTTGTGCTGCCCTTGATAGCATCATAGCAACACCCAGGGTATGTGGGGCATTGTCTTCTTCGTGTCCCGAAAATATCACCATCTCTCCTGAGATTAATCTCTTCTGTAACACTTTGTCTGATCATTTCTAATTTAAGCTCTAACATGATAGTATTCTTCTTCATTGATCCACCAGCACCAATATTAGATCAAACATATTTTGAACCCATTGTTTAATGTCCAATTGAAACTATAATCACACAAACAACACTGGGCTATATATCACAGAGAAGTCTGGACGCTAACTGATGCTCATGTGATTAAAGTTGCTTTGGGAGCTGGGCGTTGTATACTATTAAATGAGCTAGCCTACTAACTTCTAACTTTCATGATGACATAGTACGAAAAAACAAGTATATTTAATTAATTATTTTTTTTGCGCCATAAACTTAATTGGGTAAAATGTGGATAACCTGTATAGATTTTTTCAACTTTCCCAGATCTTCTTTGGTGTTCATTTCTCTCTCTCTTTTTTTTTTCAAAGTAAGGATTTTCTGCTCTTAAACTTTTCAACAAAGGTCTTTTGAAGATGTGTTAAAGTCAACAATTTTTTTGTACACTAGTGCATTTATTTTAATGTTGCTTAACCTTATTTTTTCATATGATGTTTCCAATGTATGTTACTTCTAATTATACAATCACTAAATTAGAAGTCCATGATGTATTTTCTGATAAAAGTTGTGAAAACTAAGCATATTTTCTTCCCTTTTCTGTGTTTTAGGAGAGCCAGTTGAAGAAGCATTTCGACACATGATAACACCCAACAGTTTACTTGTTAGGGACAATGGGACAGTTGTCCTAGCTGAAGTTAATCAAAATCTCCATGGCTCTCTGTACATGGCTCCAGAGTTTGAGCACACCACAAGACAGCTATTATCTGATACTGCTTTTGAAAAGGTGAAATATTCTCCAATTTACAAATACGGTATTTATCAAAAAAGGATTTGTGAAAATTGGCAGGGTGTTGGAGTGGTCCTCATCTATTGACTCGTCATGGTAAACCAAACAGCCTAGCAACTTTAAAAAGTTATCTAATTGAGTCTTAACTTCCTCAAGGAAGTGGTGGGGTCAGGCAAATTAAATATGTACAAATAAAAATAAGATGAAATTATTATGTGTAGTATTGAGAGTACTGCGTTCAGATTGAAACAATATGAAATATAATACCCAGAGTTGGGGAAAACGTGAACAAAACATCAGATGTTTCAATTAAGAAGCCTTCAACAGCAAAAAAGAGAGAAAACAGAAGGATAAACTTAACTATAGTTGTGATAATAAACAGGAAATTCTAGTGAATACTTTTTACTATTCTACTATCAGTTAATGTCTTTTTTGTAAGTTCAGTTTAAAAATAGTTAAATATTTTCTCCTGACGTGCTCAAATTTTTAAATAAATAATGCTCTTAAAATAATTTTATATCTTCTTTTTTTTCTCTCTAGATGTTTGTCTATTCATTAGGCAGAACACTTCAAGTTGCATCTGAATTCGGCCTTAAAGAGAATGAGGTATTACATTTTTATCATCTATCTTTAAATTTTATGATATATGTTAGATTGAGAATTAAAACTATTTCTTAAATTATTAAAATGAGCATTAAAGGTTTACTCTCCTGTTAAGGAAATTTTTTTCTTATGCTTATAATTAAACTTAATTACTAGTAAACCTAAATCACTCAATGCAATGCATTGTTCTTGGTGTTCCTTAATTCCTATCTGCATTTTCATTTTTTATATATTTTATATTTAAAAAATCTTTCTAAATGAAATATGAAAAGTAAATAATAATTTATCGCAAGTTCTGGATTGATATTTGACTTCACTTTTATGTCTCCCAAATGTTGCATTTAAAAATTTTTAAATATTCTCTTTTATTTATGAAATACATCTGCCCTTTATTTTCGAACAGGTCCTTAGCATTAGCTATGATCTGGATTCTCTTCTCCAAGCTATGAGCGAGCGAAATGGGGCCGTAAGGCTCAGCTTAATGCACATCTTAGAGGTTTGTTCAGCTTAATCTTTTGTTACAAAATATTTGATAAGCAGTGCTAAAATTAAGTGGACTTAAGGTTTCTTAACCCAAAACCTAAAATAAATTAGTTTAGATATATGTGAACATAAATGTTAAAAAAAAAAATGCTATTAAAAAAGATTATTAATACTAATACAATTTTATTAAAATTTTATGACAAATCATTGTTTTAGTTTAGAATACATTCAAGAAGGAATGCATGGTTATAATGGCTGACAAAAATCTAATCATTTTGATTTTATGTTGATTGGGGGGCATGAGAAAAATTGACCAGCAGAGAGTGGAAATAAAGTGCAAGCAAGTGGGATTAACAGGAATTGTTCTCTTAAGCTGCTTGCATCATCTAGCTGGATGAAATGGGAAATAATTTAAAATGACCAATGTGGCTCATGAGAGTTTTAAAAAGACAATAGACCTAAATTATAAAATAAACTCTTTAGCATGTTGGTTGATTGGTTATCGATAGTTTATAAATGTCTAATGGAAAGTTTTTTGGCTCTTAATTTCAGAGAGAGTGGAGAATACAAGCAGTCTTGATTGGGCAAATTATTTGAACTAACATGTCATTTGTGACAAAACCTACTTCTTTCAAAACCATCTCGCTCAACTTAAATCGTTATTATTTTCAGGCATGTGCTCTCCAAGCCAGCCAGCATCCGAACAAGCCCCCACATTCATACACTTTGTCCAAACTGTACAAGTCTGTGCTGAGCAGCAATCCAAGGGTATTTTTATCTTAATATTTTATTTATTTTTTTAGCTTGACAAGTAATTTGAACATATTGGTTAAGTAGCTAATTTTCTCTATGATGAATCAATGGTACAATTTTAAATTCTAATTATTTTGTCAATTTTGGACATTTCACAGAGGTCCTCACATGAAACAAGCACCCGCAGTTCTCTACACACAATGACAGTTCGATCCTGTCGAGCCAGAAAACCGCGCCCTCATGTTCGACATCGCCATGACAATCAAAGGTCATGGTCTCGATCCCGGTCAAGATCCAGATCACGCTCTCACAGCAGAGAAAGAGGTAAACATCTACATTCCAAGTTTAGCAAGTTATTTACAGTTTGGTTATTTGCTTAATTCTTTGTGAATGTTTATCAAAGTCAACAATATTTTTAATCCTCAAGTACATTTAGTTTAATTTCTATTTTCACATGAGGTTCTAATGTACGTAACTTCCAATTATTCAATTTACAATCACTAATTTTGAAATCCTTAGTACATTTCTAATAAAAATGGCAGTTACAAATTGGCAAGTTATATGGGCTTTGATCCTACAGAAATCAACATAAAGAATACCCCTCTTTGTGTAATGCAAATGACATATAAAATAAGAACATTATTTTAAAAGTAAATTTAACATGCCATAAATCTAAGTTTGTGGTGTTTTGGCTCACAAATAACAGGTGAAAGGGATTCAGGAATTTTGACAGCCAGCTATCAAGGATCAACTCCACCACAGAAATCGGTTGACCAAAGAGAGCAATCCATTAATCGTGAAGCTAAAGCCATAAATGCACCAGCATTGTTCAACATTCATCTTCTCAATACTTCTATGACATCTACTGGCAGTGAAAATTCTGAATTTCAGCCTAGGCCATTTCAGGTGATCATATTAATAATATAAAATTATTTTCCAAATATAAGTAGGTATCTGTTATAAGCAGTTGGGATTTATTCTGTAATTCATATTCAATGGAGTTTTACAAAAAAGCCTTAACATTTTTTTGAATGTTTTTAATTCTCACTCTCACTGCCAAAGACATATGTGTCTTGTATATTGTAAATACTTTATTTTTTAATGTATTTCTTCTCCCAATTAGGCCTCAGCTTATTCTGCAGCCCACTCAGTTCAAGGTTTACTTGGATTGAGGCAAGGAAGTCCAGCATACCAGAAGTACATACAATTGAAGGAGCGACAAATTCGTCTAAGACAAGCCAGGTTAGATAACTACCATTAAAAATAAATTTTAAGTACTTGTTAGACGAACTATTCTTTAATCTGCTGAAATATGATAGTAAGTAATATTGAAGCTTTCCTCTGACTAAATAAATTTAGAAAAAAAAATTATTTTAAAAAAAAAACCTTTAAACAATCCCTATTAGAGTAGCAGTAGCAGATAAAAATTTACAGATGTTATATGATAAAACAATTCATGAACTCTGTAATGGTCTTGGCTCATACTGGTTCTAATAGGACATTTTTGCATACAGTAGTTTTAACAAAGGAAGAAAAGGATTATATTTTGTTTCTTTCTTTTGAACTTTCTTTCACTTACATTAAAAGTGATATTTTGTAGAGTAGAGGTTTGGTGTTGTTTCTTACCTACACTGCCTTAATATACATTATCATAATTACATTTAAAAATAACAAAATTTTCAGGACTGGAAAACAAACATCCATTTTGGATGATGTTCGTAGTCGTCTGATGACACCCACTTTGATGTCTTATGAGAATATGACTGAAACACACTCTATGGCTTCTCTAATGTCCTATACACTTGGTAATAAATCAGTCTAGTTAAAAAATTAATCTTAAGTGTAGGGGTTTTAATACTGGTAACTTAAATCATAATTTGTAATAAAAAGAAAACTTGAATAACATTTGGTCATTATTTCTTAGTAAAATGTAAGGGTCATTGTTTTTTGTTTATAACATTGTATATTAATGAAACATAATGTATCAATGATATATTTGGTCTAAATTGGACCATAATTTATAAAAATCTATGAGTTTTTAGAAATTTTTAAATAAAATCGGTTACATTTGTTTTAAGGTTTTAATTAAATTTTTTTAGCCAGGGAATGCAATTAGTATGTGATCTTTATGCCTTTGTTTACTAAACATCTTCAAAAATAAATTGATTATTAGTCCTAAACACCCTAATAAAAAGCCTTTCGATTCAAATCGGACATTGGAAGGTGTGCGTTTCCAACCTGATGGATAATTTAAGTGTTGTTACTGATAATTTGTGTTGTTTTTATCTTCTGTCTTCTTTCTTTTAAATGTTAAAATTGTACCCCTTGGTGCAGGCACCTACAAGCCTGGACTTCAGTCTCAGCTTGGCTCTAACGCTGCCTTAAATTACAGTAAAGAAACTGATAGCAGTAGCCAGATGTCACTACTTTTAAATTCTGGGGACTATGGTGATACCCTGAGGTAAAATCTGTTCAATTAGTAAGTTTTTTTATTTTATTTTTTTAACCTTTTAAAAGTCATCAAAACGTTTGATAAGTTATTTAAGAAATAGTGCTGCAGTACGCCTAAACATTTTTAGATTATCTAATGTAATTTTAATTAAATCAAATGTAAATTTGTTTGTTGATAAATTTGGCTTTCAAATGTAGAGGAATGTAATTTTGTAATTTGTAATGTAGAGCTGAGGAGATGCCGGTAGCAGTTCTGAGCTTTGATCCTACCTGGTTAAATCTTGAAATGCCCACACAGCAGACAGTACATGACGTGCAGCAGGAACAATCAGCTCGACCAGTATTAAAAAAGCAGCAGCAGCAATTATCACCAGAAGTAGCAGAAACCCAAGAACTGAAAATAAAACCAATGCCTTCGGTTATAGCAAAACCAAAAGTAAAGTATTATCAACAAGTCAAAGTAATAAAACCTCTTGTGTCTCAGTATGTTCATATCTTATACATGAAAGATTTGCAATAAAGTTATAGTAGTAATAGGCATTATTACACTCTTATAATAAACAATAACTGTTATTTACATATTTCTATTGCCTTCATGAAATGTAAAATGATATCATTTACTGAGGTCAATAGTGAGAAATTAATAACAAAATTTATTGTAGTTACAATTTAAAGTTCAGAAGCTCCTTGACCAAAAAATTGCCATTCACCCTTTCTTAATAGGGATAAGGCTTTGGCATACACCATTAGATACACCATTATCGCTATAAAGGTTAAATTTTTCAAATTTTCCCCAATGTTTTTTTATTTTGAAAAAAACTTTTTTATTACTGATAGTATTAAAAAACTTAATGAATAACTGGTTTTCCAAAAATTAGGATTACTATGGACCAGAATTCATTCACAATGACAAAAAACCAACCACCCGAATTGCCATGCCACTTCAAGGAGATGTAAGATTTTTTAATTGTTGGGTTATACATGTTTAGTTTTATTTAGTGATTAACTGTTTCTGCTAGCTGTATTTTGCATTCATTAAATCTAATTTAACCCTAAAGAACATTTTTCTGTAGTGTCAATTTTTAATATTTACATTATCTTGTCAAAAATACAAAATCCTGTACTAAATGAATTTAGAGCTCCTTATAAACATACATTTTCTGAAAGTATGTTGGATGAAAATATTTTGTTATATATGTATTTGGATTTTGACCTTGACCTTAACAGGGTGAGTAAAATTTTACTACTCAACTTCTGAATTCAACCCAACCTAATACTCCAAAAATTGTTCACCCTATCATAAAATAAAGTTTTTTAGATTCTAGAAGTAGTTTTTTCAGAAAATGTCACAGTACGTATAATGAAAATTGCAATATTGGTGATTTTTTTTTTTATTACTACCTTCAAATTTCTGTCACATAAAATACAAGGGAGGTAGGAACGATATAAGTTCAAAAATTCCTTTTCAAATGAAGTTATTAGAGCTATTAATACTCTAGAACATACATAAACATAATTGTCTTTGATCTCTTTAGGGTAAGTTTTTGGGATTTTATCTTTATCCTTTCTGTTTGATTTCCACCTTACCCCAAAGAATTTGTCTGCAATACGTCTGCAATTTGTATTGCAAACTAATCTTTGGGGCTAAAATTGTCAATTCTTATGTCGCCATCCCCGCTAGAGCTAATACTGTCATTACTAGCATGTGGAATATCTCTAAAACATTAGTTTCATTTTAATCCATGTGAAATAATTCCAATAAAGATATTCAGTATTGATTTTGAAATTTAGAGGGGGACACTCTCCAGCATTCAGACATTATGGCTGTCAAAAACTTTGAGCAAATTTTGCACCAGATTAAATCACAAAAAAGCCCTGATAAAAGCACTTTAACACACAGATAGTAACGTAAATAAAAAGCAAACTCATTTACACAGAGTGATTTTATCTTAACAACTAAATCATTTGCATTTTTGCTAGCGACAAATTATTTTGGCCATGACACCACATAAAAAGGTTTAACGGCAGCTGATCTGCCATTATGACAATTACAGGTTAAAAGCTTGATTTTTTTTTTTCTATTCAGAGTGTGAAAAATGCAGCATTGGCTAGGCGAGTCACGGTGGTTCATCTGACAGGTCAAAAGCTAGAAGTTATTTTAGACCCAAGTACTACAGGTCGTCAACTATTTGATACTGTCATTCCTTGTCTAGAGCTGGATGATTTTTTCTTTTTTGGACTAACCTACATTTGTGGTGAGTCAGCATTTCAAGCAAAAATATTTCTTTGAATTTCACCTTAAAAGTACAAAACAGAAACATTATTATCTATTATACAAAGCTCGATGTGACTAGGTTTGTTTATTTGTTTTTAAATGGGTCGCAATCACAAGAAAACTAAATGATGGATCACAACCAAATTTGACACGGTCATTCCTCCTGACCTTGTCCCCTTATCCCAAAAGCTGTAATTAAAAATATTGTAAAATATAGAGGGCAAGGATTAAAAAAATATTATTTTCCAATGGCTTTGAGGGATGTTCAAGTTATTTTTGGTTTACTGAATAGTGCACTTTCAAACATCAATTAAAAGAAGTTTTTCTGTGCTCTTTTGTTTGGTGCGCACATTTTAATTAAGCTTTATTCTATGTTCACAGAACAGTGTGCTTTAAAAAAACAAACAAATTAGCTGTTAAATGCAGTCATATTCTTATAAGAAACTACAATTCATTGCATGGTATAAGGGTGGTTGAACATTAGATACGAATTATCACATAGTTCAGGGGGGGTGCATAAAGGGGGCTTTGACATTCCTAGGGATTTGCCATCCTGGGGGTTCTTTTATTAATTTTTAATACCAACTTTATATAGTAGATGTGTGTGGGGAAGAGAGAATCACACTTCAGTGATTTAGCCTCAAATTAACATTTAGCAAACTGTGTCAATGTATGTGTGGGTGCACTTTATGGGTCTCAAAGGCACAATTTGCTACATATGGAACAATTTCAGTCCATAGTTGATTTCTCTTTTTATATAAAAAATGGCTAAATCTAGTTTAAATTTGGTACAAATGCACTTGGAAAAATCTATTACAAAATATTTACCACTGTCCAGGCTGGGGACACTAATTTCATTTTTCTTACATCTCTTGCATTTTTTCAACTGATTTTAATGGGACAACTGTGGCATTGGTGAATACGTTTTTTAAAAAGTTGTATTTGCTTTTAAATCATTGCTTTTGGCTGTGCAAATCTTGAATATTAACTTAAAAGGGGTGGGCCCCAAATTCAATGTTTAGAAGAGTTATAAATCTACCTAGAGATAATGATTTTATTTTAATTGGTACTTTAGCGAAGTGTTTTTGACAGGGCCCTAAATTTATGTGTATGCTGATAGCGCTTTAGGAGTTTGTTTCTGATTACAAACCAGAGCAAAGACTGGAATATTGGCTAGTTAATTAAAAAAAAAATAAAATATTATCTGGAAAAATATGTTTTGTAATAAGTAGGATATTATTTCATTACAGAAGGAGAGCACTTCTTCATGGATGGTGACACAAAGTTACACAAAGTAGCACCAGAAGGGTGGAAAGAAGGCCCAAAGAGCCATTTACCACCTGTCAATTTTACACTGTATGTCAGAGTTAAGTTTTATCCTGAATCACTCACAGATTTTCGGTGAGTGTTGACTTTTTGTGTTGATTTTAAAGGCAATATAATCCTTGTGTACAGTAAAGTAATAAAAGCCAGAGATTTATACTTTATGTTTAATATGTGTTATGAGGACCAACAATTTAATTGAACATTAAGTTGCAGCTTCTCAACTGTATTTTATAATATAAAGTTGAAAAATAATGAAAAACCACGAAGATATTGAATGCCACATGATGATCTTAATTGGTTGTGGTATTCCAGCATTGTTTTTTTTGGTCTCCAGCACTGATTAATAATAAATTCTATTTTCTCCAGCCACACGAGCAGCTATCACCTTCTTTACCTTCAGCTGAGGAAGGATGTCATAGAAGAGAGATTGACCTACAACTCTGACACTCTGTCAAGACTTGCTGGGTTGGCCCTGCAGGTGGAGTATGGTGACTACAATGAAGCTGAGATGGGACAGGGATATTTCCTGGCTGAGCACTATGTCTCCTTTAAGGCCATTAGGAGGTTTGGAGGATCTTATGTGGAAATTAATGCCATACGAGAGCATAAAAACTGTAAAGGCATTGCAGAGTCACAGGCTGAAATTGAGTATATCAAGGTACTGATTTAAATTAAATCCATATTGCATAATATACTGCAGTCTGGCACATATTTTTTTTTCATAGTGTTCCTTCAGAGCAGAAGCCAATATTTCTAAGCCACTTTGTAAATGTTGGATTCTTCTTATAAAACAAAAGGTTTATTTACCACTAAAATAGGGCAGAATTAAAAACATTTTTTGTGAGAAATTTATCCAAACAGAGAATGAATGCCTTGTGAATGTTTGTTGGCATTTAGCTTGTAAGAAAAACATGTTTAAAAAGCTTAGAATCAGAATTTATTTAATATATTCATAAACAAAATTTGTGCGTGCATCATATCAAGATTCAAAAGACTTAATGAATTATGATTCTTTTTAGTGTAAATAATGTATATATTTGCAGCATGTTCGTCATTTGCCTGAATATGGAATTCATTTTCACCGTCTGTTTAAGGTGAATATACTACCCTCTTTAAATGTTTAAAGAGTTTTTTAATCAAATATTTGATGGTAATATTCATTTAACATAAATACATCCAAGTTCCATCCATTAATAGAAAATGTTTGCTACATAAGAATTTATTGCTTAGTTAAAATGTTATCAAGACTAATTAAAAGACTATTGTGGTTACACCCCTATAAACTTTACATTATTCCTTTTAGGGAAAATTTTCTTTGCTACCACAATTCCATGTATTATATTTGCACAGAATAAATCAAACACAGACAGCTTCATGTGGATTGGTTTGTCCCAACACTGTCTGGTTCTAGCTGAGCCAGAAGTACAAGGGCGCAGTATCATTCAAGATTACCCCTGGAATGCCATCCTTAAAATTTCCTTCAACAAAAGGAGGTTTAGCATCCAACCGAAGATTGAAGTGGCCAAAGGAAAGCCACCCAAAATAAATTTCTACACAAACTCTTACAGAAAGTGAGTCAGCAAGTGTCAAATGTCATTTAAAAAAAAAAAAAGCAACTGCTAATCCTATAGATGTTAAGTTCTCAAATTTGATTTCCTTTATCTTTGAAAAAATTTATCCAATTTTTTGACCTAAAAATATGCAACAGAGATCACATGTTAAAATGATTCGTTTTCATTAATCGTTATGTATTTAGAATCTGGATAATGGCTAGTGAACAGCAAATCCATTTTACTGGTAATGCAAGGTGCTACATCCCCCAAATATGATAAAAGTGCATTATTCAGACCTGTTTACTCTTACGATTTGGAGGTTTATAGATTGTATATACTGTATGTTTATTTTGTAAAGAAATATAACGTATTGAACGATTTTGTGATGATATTGTACGATTTTAAGAGTTTGAGGGTAAACAGGTCTGATCATTTGACTGCAATAATAATATCTGGATCCAAAAGCTGAACTTACAAATACTCAATTTAGATATTTCAAAGATATTAATTTAAATTCATTGAAAGAGATTAAACTTTGATCTGATTTTTGTTGTTGTTGCTTTTGTGATTTTAACAATTTTTCTACACTTCTATTAGGAGAAATCCTAGTTTACTTTCTATTTTTTAAATTTTAATAAAAGTAGGCATTTCTTATAAATTAAGTATCACTCTTTCAGGGGGCGGTATTTGCTTCAGTTTTCAACTGACCAACACAGATTTCAGATCAGGATGAGGACAAGACCAAGTAACATAGAAACATTGGCAGGTAATTATTTCTTTTACCTGTTTTTGTGTGATGATAATAATAATAATGTACACTCCCAGATCTAAGAACTATTTTAATATTTCTCAACTTAGCTTTCTTTGTTGATAACTAACATCAAATCTTTATTCAAGTTTATATATAAGAATTAAAATTAATTTGTTCAAATTCTGCTTTTATTAACCAGACTAGAGGATTAACAATGGTCTTACTCTTTAGAAAAACGTGCAAATTATACATTCCATTAACATTTGTTATTAAAATATTTTTAACTACAGGGGACTTTTCAGTAGAGCTGGTCCCTCAGACAGCTGATACTGGTGTTGGTGATGATGATATCGGAGTTGATGGTGATGATATCGGAGTTGATGGTGATGACAAGGTCATACCACCTCCTTCTTATGTCGACCCAAGCTTACAGGTATTGTAAGAATTTTATTGGGATGTTGAGTCAGACCACAGTTACGTTACTTCTCTTTGCAATATAGATTTCCGTTTAGTAGTCCATTTCAGTTATTTAAATCATTACTGCTACACGTGATTTGATTGTAAACTGTTTAGGTAGTAAGAGACTATACAAAATCTATGTGTAGCAACTGTGGCTGGGCTGGTGGAAATTATTGTTTGATTTTAAACAAATGGCAAACGACAGCTTGAGATAATTCTGAAAGATCTGAGTAATCGTTGAAGAGAAAATAGTTCCGGTTATCACAAGATAATTTAAATACATAAGTCACAAGTTAATTCAAGCATTTTTTCTTTTTTTAGGCGCTGCCTGATGATGATGATGATGACCTTGAAGGAGATTGGGGTGGGCAACCCATGGCCCATTCAGAGCATCCTCTCCAGTATCGAAGGTATGTGCTGTGATATCATGGTGAAACTCTGTCTTATGTCAGAAGATCATGTATGTTATGATGATCTCACACTTGAAAAAAAAAAATGCACCATGAATTTTCTTGCCAACTTTAAACATTATCATACTAACAGCAAGGCATGCTAAACATTATGTCAACGATTTACAAAATTTAGTTTAACTAGTCTATTCTTTAAATTTATTAAGAAATCATTTATAGGAATGTCTGTCCACAAAGTGACTGTTTATATTTTGTTCAATAAAATGTGAAGCAATGAATTGTTCATGGGCTTTGCGACTTCAAGAAAGAGCTCAGTACCAAGTTTGTAATTAACCCCTATGTTTTGTGCATGTTGCATGACTCACCTCTTTTGCACTCATAGCCCCCCACCATACCAACCACCAAGCATGGCCTTAATTCTTGGTGGATCGCATGTGTTTCCTGAGCTCAACCCTCTCCAGTTGCATGCATCCATGACCGATTTGACAAGCGGAGCATTTAATGAACACCAGCTTCTGCAGCTGTTAGGTAATTGGTCTGTTTTGTCTGCATCATGCATTCATCAACAGTTGCAGTGACTCAGCGTTGACACACCATTGAAATGTTGTAATGCTCTTATTTACTTAAGGATCAGAAATGTTTAAATAATAAATATCGCTGAAGATAAATAGCTATGGTTAATCCACTAAAGTTATAGTCTTTTATTTTCTAAACTTAAATGAGATGTGATCAATTATGGGCCGATAAAATTGCTGTTTTTACACAGGACAAAATTCAATTTTTTTCTGTATTTCAGACCTGAGGTCAGAGTCTCCAAGCTTGGATTCTGCGCTAGCCAATGAAAAAACAGACTATGAAGGTAATGAATATCTTAACATTTTAAATTTCCAATCCCTTTTATCATTTAAACATTAAAAAATTTAGGTGATAAGTCTGAAAATTAATTTCTGAGTTTTTAATTAAGTGAAACATGTTATAATTTCTTTTCCCAGAGCCCTCTCCTCCCTATCCCAAACAACAGTTTTTTAAAAGTGAGTCTCAAATCGGCCGCCTCATATTTGAAGTTACGTTAGAGAAAGAGGGAAATCATGGCATTGGTATCACCATCGTGGGAGGGGAGACTACAAATAGTTTGGATCTTGGAATTTTCGTCAAGTCAATAGTACCCGGGGGTCCAGCGGAGAAGGATGGGAGAATAATGCCAGGTGACCGCCTGATAGCTATCGGAGGCGTCAGCTTGGAGGGAAAGCAGCATCACGAGGCTGTGGAGCTGATCAGGGACGGCGGCCCTCAGATAACCCTGCTGGTGTCCCAGATTCGACCCCCTGGTACTATTAAAAAACGCAGCCCTCATGAAGAGCACGCTGACTTTAAGAAAAAGTTAACCAACTCCTTAATAGAGTACCGTAGCAACAAAAATGGCCACAACTCAATCTACGAGGAGAAAGACTTGTTTGGCAGCAGTGCAGATGATTTCTTGCAGTTTGATGATTTTGTGCATAGACCTAGGACACGTAGCAGTAGTTTTAGTGATCAGTTTTGCTATTCTGATGAGGAGAATTATGACTTGGAACCCCCAGGCTTTGGTCTACATCCTGCCACTTCAGCTTCACACACACTACCCACATATCGTCCACTCCCTGAATACGTTTCAAATTTAAACTCTACAATTCACCATACAAAAACTTCACCCAATAAACTTGCTCATGACCTAGACAATAAAGCTGTAGGTGCTGACAACGAACGCACAGATCTTGATGAGTTGGGGACTGTATTGGTTAATCATATTGACCCAGTCTCTAAAACACATCTGTCACGGCACCAGATCATGAATACGAGCCTACACTTTGATAATGACAAGCCGCAAATTCCTGAAAATGACACTGTGTTAAAGCTTCCTGGAAATGAAGAGTTGAGCTACAAACTAGACTTTCTGTCAAATGACTGGTCACCTGAAGGTGCATCGACGGCTCAAGCAGATTTTTACCATGGTCAATTAACAAAGGAAGAAGAAGATGCACTTCAGATGCTTGGAGGTGAGAACCTTGTATTGAAGGGTTTTTTTATTGTCTGAAATGGTAAGGTTTAAAAAAATCTATCCTTCATTTTTAACTTTGCTCTGCAAGCTTCAGTTATTGTGATAAATTTTTTTTTTGCAATCATGAAACATGGTTAATAATAGGTTGTATGACACTTTTCTCTCGCTACTTTATATCTACTATAAAAATGCAATCATGTGCACATGCAAATACAATTGCTTTTTCAAACCAGTCAAAATATTGCAAGCTGAACTTTCGCCTTGTAAATTTAAATATTATTGTTACAAAACCTGGAAGCACATAACTAATTATACACTTCAAATTTAAAAATTAAAATCATATTTATTTTTGTGTTTGCAGACATAGCAGCACTCGATGACAATGATTCCTCATCTGACAGTGACTTTGATACAGCAGTTAAAAAAACCATTGAAGGACCTCTGACTAAAACTATCGTAAGCAACAAGACTGTTAATGTGTCTAACCCTGTTATAGGCAGGGGACCGGCTGAGAAGCCATTTAGGTGAGTTTTAGGGACAAAACATAAACTGTGGTATTTCTTGCTTCACTGAAAGACAAAAGCAGAATCGTCTTTCAAATATTTAATATAGTTGTTTTTATTTTGATTAAGTGTATATATTACTATAATTACTTATTATTTAATAATGTGATTTTTAAAAAAAATATTTTTGTGCTGAATAAAAATACTTAATCAGATTGACAAACAGAATCATAGTCTATCATTGAATGGTGTATGAATTAATTTATTTTAAGTTATGCTATAAAGAAATTATTTCTTCACAGTGAAACACAGAAAGCATCTGATGTTATTTATGAGATTATCCTTGAGAGATCTGATCTTGGTTTTGGTATTGTGGCTTGTGATATAGTAAGTTGTCTGCATCCTATCTCTGTGTGTTTCGGACAATAACATTTTGTTAGCAAATCGAGTTATTATTTTTTTTTTAATGATTGAAATAGTAAAGCTTTGAAATATCAGTTTTTGGTTGGTAACTATTTGACCTTTTTTTGTTTTCTATAAAAATGTATTTTGGATAACTTATGATAATGAAAAAATTTGAAAACCTATGCATATTTAAGGCAAAGATTTAATTTAGTTCCATGAAGAGTGTTTCAAACAAACTACGTAAAATTCACTTTCTCATCACAAAATTAATGACTTTTAGTCTAGTACAAAAATTATCATAATTTAAATTATACAATTTTTCATACAACCCAAAAGACATTGGTGAATTGTTTCTAAGAAGCTATATCAGGTAAACATGACTGTGTTCCCCTCACAAAATAGTTAAAACAAAATTAAAATTTTACATACTTAGATATTTTCTTATTTATTATTGTATTTCCCTTTAAAAGGCTACAAGTGATACAGATAATCCTGTTAATGGAGTGTATATCAAAAATATTTTGGGTGGCAGCTCTGCTGAAAGGGGAGGGATACTAGCACCAGGTCAGTTATAGTGTTATAGCGCTTTTTTATTTTTTTAATACAAATTTTGTACCTATATAAAATTTAAAAATAAAAAAAATCATTTCTACTTTTTTAAATCTCAAGAATGAATGATCTTGGTTACCTTTTTGGATTACTTCTTGAGTCATTTGAAGATTTTTAGTTTAATGTGTCACTAAATGCCATAGTTATATTTTAAAAATAATTTCACTATGTCGCTGCAAGTTGTTTCACCTGAGAACTAGTAGAATTTAAAACAAAAGTTTATTTTTCTCCATCAACGGGAGTCATTTTTTTTTTATCATGGTTATTTCTGTAGGTGACAAGATATTGGAAATAGCTGGCAAGAGTATAGAGGGCTATACCTCTGTTCAAGTGCATGACTTACTGAATGCAACCCCTGACTTGACAACCATCAAAGTGTCACGCCCAGTACACAGGGATGCAGTCCTCACTAGCAAGAAGGATATAAGAGACAACAATCAAGTAATTCTTTAAAGATTTGTCTGTATTGTTGACTGTATTTTATATACACATTTCTTATTAATCTTTTTCAATCTTGTATATGTAAGCTGTTATTTAAATATTTTCATTTATAGTAAAAGTCTGGCCAGTTATAGGAGAAATAAATAAATACAACTGAATTCATTCACTTCAACTAGTTGTTAAAAATTTGGTCATTATGTTCATTTGAAATCTCACTAGTTCATGTGGTTTTACTTAATGTTAATAACACAAGAAAAAATATTTTGAAAAAGTGACTTAGCCTTTGTGAAACCTGTTAAACATTTGTTATATTTTTTTATATTTCCACAGAATGATCTTAATTTACAGTTTCCATATCCTACCCATCTTGACCTTCATGACATTGAGAGTGAACAGAAAAACCACTACCTCCAACCCCATCAGGTATTTGAACCCATCCACTCCGCCCCTGCAACTAAAGAGCGTCCTAAGGCCATGACTTTATTAGAAATTATGACCTCGACCCCTAATGGAAGATTTAAACAAGAGAGAAAACCAGACAATGACCCACCTCCAGTCCTACTTCTTGGAGACTCTGAGTCCAACACCCAGAGTGATGTTGACTCGGATGTCTTGGACAGCTCTCGGTCAGAACTAGAAGGCATATACAAGAATGCAGAGTTGTTGCTGGGGGAGGAGTCAAGACAGCACAAGGAGAGGATGACAGATGACCCAAGCAGTGATAACCCAACTGTTATAGAGGCAGGATATTCCAGAAAATATCACCGTAAAACACCAGAGAATGTCCTGGATTATGAGACCAATGAAGGCGGGGATGACACATACAGTGTGTGCACGTATGATGAAAGCTCAGAGTTCACTCAGCAGCTGCAGGCTTTGAAGAATGCCCTAGATGAACGTCTAGCAGTAGAGCTTAGCTCATCCAAGTCAAGTGAAAATTCTCCCACTGACTCAGTCATGCAGTCCCCAGGAAAAATCATGGATCAAAGGCGCAAATCCCTGCTCAGGCAAGGTAATGTTGAGCTCATTCCACATCAGGATGACCATGATGATGACGACGATGTTGTGGTGACCATGTATGGAAACAAGACAGCTTATACCCCATCTTCTGACAGTGAGGATGTTGCAGGGACAAGTGTGAAAGACAGAGCTAGCTTATTTGAAGGCAAGGACTCCAAAAAAACTGAGGAAGCTATTGGGCCAGAGGTTGGAAATTATTCATATTTGGAAGTCCATTTTACATTAATTTATGTACTTCTAAACCTGAACTTTAAAAAAAAAAAAAAAAGTTTAAAATTTTATTTTTAAAATAATTTTTTACATTTTTTTAAAAATTGTATTGAAACGGGAAATATTTTTCAAAACTTGTTTTATCTCTTGATGCAGAGGATTTATTTTTTAAAATTTTGTTATTTTTGGGTTGTTAAGCTTATTTGAAGGCAAGGACTCCAAAAAAACTGAGGAAGCTATTGGGCCAGAGGTTGGAAATTATTCATATTTGGAAGTCAATTTTACATTAATTTATGTACTTCTAAACCTGAACTTTAAAAAAAAAAAAAAAGTTTAAAATTTTATTTTTAAAATAATTTTTTACATTTTTTTAAAAATTGTACTGAAACGGGAAATATTTTTCAAAACTTGTTTTATCTCTAGATGCAGAGAAATTATTTTTTAAAATATTGCTATTTATGGGTTGTTATGATGTTCCAGGTTCTAGAGATTACACTGAGGAAAAAACCTGAGGCAGGATTTGGTTTTACAGTTGCTGGCGGTGTTAACACAGGTGGATGCTATATCAAACAGTTGGTCTCTGATCCTGCTGTGTCTGATGGTCGACTGAGACCTGGGGATAAAATTTTAAAGGTGGGTTTTTTTTTTAAAAAGGCAAAACTTTCGCAGTACAATAGTAAAGGTCTCGAAATTTAATTTTGTTTAAAGGATTAATCACTTAAAAACAAAAACAAAATTTACCTAAGCCAAAACTTTACTGTGTTGTTTCAGTCTACTATGTGTATTGCAAACATTTCTCTTTAGAAATTGTTTGACTTAAATCTACAATCTTTTAGTTACAGAGCTATAATATGTTGCCCATGAGGTGTGTTGCATTCTTGTTGCACTTTTACCAATAATTCTGGCATCCATTCAGGTTAATGGGAAGGACACAACCAACATGAGTCATGTTGAAGCTGTGACCTTGCTAAGGAAAGTCCATGATGTTGCTAACCTGCAACTGCTAAGATACCCATCATCCTTTGAAATACAAGAGAGATTAAACAGCTCAAAGGTCTGTCATATATTTCTTGTTCTTAAATTTGTTCCTGCCATTTTGCCTTTTTAGGTTGTCACAGCCCGTTTGCAAAGTACCACCTTTTTCACCATTTTTTTTAAGCCATGGGTGTCATTGTATGTTTTTTAACTCAAGATTTGATGTTCACCCTGTGGTGCAATAGTTTGCATCAAAACTAAGAGCTTGGAATTCTTTCTCCATTGTTCTTATGGGGAAGCAGCTAGGTGGAATGGCTCTCGGGAAAGACACAAAATCAAATAATTCCAATGATATTGTAAAGCATTTCATTTTGAGCTGTGGTTTAACCGTTTGGAACTTTTTGTTTTCCTTTCAAGATACCAGCAGTGCAACAACCTTTGAAAAGGCCAGTTGACCCAGCACCCAACAGGACAAAGCCACCCAGCCTGAAGGATGTGCAGCAGTCAGTGAGAGAGCTTGTCAAAACCCTGGACACGCCAAAGGCCATTATTAAACCATATGACTACAGAGGGAGGACATCTGATGATGTAGCCTCTTCCAATGTTGGTAGTGAGTTAGAATCCCATTCAGCCCAGCTGGATGATGACAGCCACCAAGAGGTGAGACAGATAAATAGTTTTAACTTGGACATTCAATAATTTAATTCTTGATCTACTGTGTTAACAATTCTTAAGTTGTATTTGTTGTTTAAATTCATAAAAAAAAATAAAAAAATGATATGAATGACAATAGATATGATAGAAGGAGACTTAAACTATGAACATCAACAAAAACACACATCTTCAGACCATATCTTAAACTAATATCCAATTAAAACAAACAAAATTATGCATTTCCTTTGTTACTTTCCAGCGCGGAGTATTGACTATTGAACTGTTCAAGCCAGATAACTCCCCAACCAGCTTGGGAATCAGTGTCATTGAGCGAAATTACAACGGAGAGAGGGGAATCTATGTCAAGAGACTCAAAGTTGGTGGAACTGCTCACAAGGATGGCCGCCTGCAAGCCGGAGACAGAATTCTTCAGGTAGACCTCAGTGAATGCCAGGGCTGTGATAATTGTTGGATGTGATCATATTCAAATGGATGTCTTACTGACTCATCCCCTAGCTTTACTCAGCTAGTCCCTCAGTTTATGTCCTGTGGTTGCTGTGTTGTTGTAAGTCATTTAGTGATTGATGTTGACCCTGTGCCTTAGTTTATAGAAAGTTTAAAGCTTTACATATGTTAAAAAATGTTAACAAACCATTTGACCAGGGTATATTTATTCAGTTCTGCATGCTTTAACAGTGTTGTCATCATAAGTTAAAAAAACAAGATCTGTGAGATTGTTATTCCAATTGTTGTTTATTTCAATGGCAGGTCAATGAAACACCATTTGATGGTGTTCATCAGAGGAAAGCTGTGACCATCCTCAGAGAGGCTGGAGAGAGGGTTGTCTTTAAAGTAATCAGGTTGGTTTTCTGACTTTTTTGGGTTAGGAATAAAATAATAAATGTTATTTATTTATTTATTTAGGCATTTTTATATAGCGCTTATCATAAAGCTCTAAGCGCTTTACAATTATTAAAACATGTAAATGTTACACCATGGAGGCAATTTATAAAAACGTGAAAATGTTGGAAAGTATTTGAATGAGCAGGGGAAACTAAGCACAGACAATGTTTTTTTTTCCTTGAGAAATTAAAGGGAACAATTTTGTTTCAATTATCTTATTTTCTCAATTCTACTAAAACATATGCTGAGAACACATGGTTAATATCATGCTGTGAAAACACAGTTATTAATATGAAATAATTTATCTTATCAGATCAAGTGCAGGGAACATTGGTGAAAAGTTTGATGGTTATGATGGTGAGTTGCTTGAATAGTATTAAGGGAAGGCTGAAAATATTTTGTTTCATATTATCGTAATCATTGTTGACTTTAATTAGTTTGAAATTATAACTAGGGTGGTGGAGCGGTCTAAACTGTCACAAACCAAATAGCTGGTGGTCTGGAGTTCAATCCCCACCAAAGCCAACATCTCAAGCACTCCGGGTGGATGGGACTCGTTAGCCTTGGACAGCAACCCATCTAAGAGAAGGCAAACTCTGAATTTAAACCAGGAGCCAGAATGATCAACGAATTGATCGTGGGCTCCTAAAATATAGGAAGAACAACAACAAAACACAATAAGCCTTTTTCATGCCGTAACCGCTGACATAATGTTTTTCCTTATTTAACAAAAGATGTTCTGAAACCAATGTAAATCTTTTGTTTTTCTGCTACCACCCTGAAAAACTATAATGAAAGATGGAGAAATAAATATTGTAATTTGTATGTTAATATATTCCAGATGAGAATGCTACCGATGATGACATTAGCTCTTTGGCTGAAGATGCTCTAAGTCTTATGGAAAGGAAGAAAGAATCAACCAATGCTCATAGGAACCAAACAAATGGGACCCAAGAAATAAGAGGTAACAAATGGGACCCAAGAAATAAGAGGTAACAGATTGACCCTCGATTGGAAAACTATTTAAATGCGAAAAAAACGTTGAAGGAAAAATATCTTAAAATAGACTATCAAAAATGCATTTTTAACCAATGGGAATTGAAAGATAAATTACATACATGTAATCATGAAGTAGACTATTTCTAAACAGATGTAAAAACTTTATACTTATAAATTCCTTCATTGCAGATTCAGGTGCTGGCGGCAGGTACAAATCCCCTCGCACACTTGACCTTGACGTTCCGGTTCTCTTGACTGATGACTGGCTGAATGATGTCCCTTTATTGCACATGCCTCAGAACCAGACTAAAGACCATGTACCACAGTTACTTCAAAGCCTGGCAGACTTGGTCGAAGGAGGAGAACCACATGAGGAATTCAAGGTAGATCATAAAAGCTACTGTATTTATTTGGTTATGGTTGCTTGTAGCCTAATGAGTTACATCTTATAGCCTAACGACTTACATCTTTCTTTTATTTTTATAACAAATATAGAATCTTCATCATTTGAAGGAAGCTGGGCCATGTGATGTGGGCAAACTCCGTCACAATAAGTCTAAAAATAGATACAGAAATGTCTTGCCTTGTAAGTAGTTTCTTAAAGTCCAGGACATGATGTCAGGTTGGGAAATGTCCACATGTGGGGAAACATTGTTATGTTGGATAAAGTTTGTGTGACAAAAATTTGACCATTCATACACTCCTGTCCTTGGAGTATGAGATAGACATGATGATCTCTTGTACACATTCAAACATTTTACACATGAGCATTTTTAACAGCATGGATTTTTTATGTCTTGGTTTTATTACATGTGGGCCTTTTTATGTGTGCTTTCACAAGTGTTGGGTTTTTACATGAGCTTATTTACAAAACCTTTAATATTTTCTGGGATTTTTCCTTTGATTTTTGCAGCTCATTTGTAAGACAGTTTAAGACAAATTTAGCATAATTTTTTTTGTCTTTGTGTCGTCATCAGATGATCAAAATCGAGTGGTACTCTTGAACAGTGGCAATGATTACATCAATGCCAGCCATATCTCTCTGAAAGTAGGGGAAGCCACTCTGAAGTACATTGCTTGCCAGGGGCCAGTATCGGAATCAGTCTCAGATTTCTGGCTGATGATGTGGCAGGAGAAGACCAATGTTATTGTTATGTTGACCCAAGCCTTCGAAGCTGGCAAGATAAAGTGCCACAGCTACTGGCCACAAAGTAAACAAGAAATACTGGATGTGGACAATGGGTGAGCAATGTTATTAACTTAAGCGAATTTAGTATTTCTTTAATATATCTTTAGATTTAATTATTATTTTGTATAGGCTATTTTATACAGCCGATTTTATACTTCCCATTTCATACAACCCATTTTATATGGCCCATTTGGTATAGCCCATTCTTACTTTACCCATCACATTTCATGGGATTTTTACATTTTTGATTTCTAATGGAAATTTATACTTCAAACAGGATTTTACTGCTTAATGCGTTCTGTAAGATTCACCCAACAATTAATACCTTGTTTTTTTTAATGTATAGGCGATTAAGAGTGCAACAAATTCGATCATACCAACTGCAAGCCCTGGAGGTTGTCCAGATGACTATAGAAGAGATCAACACAGGAGCTGGAAGGGAGATCACTCTCTTGCAATACACAGCATGGCCAGATCATGGGGTACCAGATACTGCTCTCCCCCTCCTAAAGGTGTGTCTATTTTAAACATTATAGAGCTGGGTGGCAAGCTAGGTTAATGTAGGAATTTGCAAAGAATTAAAAATACTGATTTTTTGATATAGGTATATTATGACAGGACTTGCCATTTAAACAGGGTACTGAATGGGGAATTTTAGACTAACAAATAAGTTTTTAAAATCTTTTTTCATACTATACTTTAAGGGTTAATAAAATCATATTTTTAAATGCCATATTATCCATTTTACCTGTGTCAGTGAAAAGGGGTGAGACTTAATCAATTGATATGGATTGGCCCAGTAGTGGAGCATTAAAAAAAAGTTTTATTTATCTTGTTAATTTTTAAAATAAATTTTGTACTTGCAGTTGCTCCAATTAATCCACCTATTTGAACAAGGCTCAGCTCCTGTCGTACATTGCAGTGCAGGTATTGGTCGAACCGGCACTTTGATTGCCATTGATGCCGCTCTGGCCGCCATTGAACATGGCGATGAGGTGAATAAATCTCTAGAAAGTTTACGTTTATTTTACTGCGATTATTTTGAAAATGAAAATTTTTATGCACATACTTGGATAAGATATTTTGCTTGAAAATCAATGGAACTGTGTTGACTTAATATTTTCTCTTAAACAGTTTGACCTACTTGGGATTGTTTGCAATTTGCGTAACCAAAGGCATGGGATGATTCAGACAACTGTAAGTCAATATTAAGTTACATTATTAAATTATTGTTTCATTTGAGCTTAAAAAATTGAGTGGAAGAAAAACAGATGTTAGTTACTGATTTATTTTCCAAATTCTGTATATAAAAAAAAGTCAACCAAAGATTTTTCTATCTTAAAAAAACTATACAATTTTGACATAAACAAGTTATTAGCTTATTCTAAAGTGCAACAAAGGGAAGCCTACTAAACTTCAGCATTACCTGCTGGTATGGGGAATTCATCGTCTTATATTTAACACTGATTAAATAGACTAATCAAGAAAGCTAGTAATATCAAACTAAATCTCCTTTAATTGAAGAACTGTTTGAATAAAAATACGGTTTGGATGATACTTCCCACCCTCTTCATGACAGTTACCTAAGATCAACTCAAGCAGGCCGAATTCTTTCCCTTTAAGTTCAGACCGAAAGATTACAAAATTTGTACCAAATCTAAATGATCACTAATTAAATCATTATTTTCAATAAGGGATTTAATTTTTTTAGGTATATGATGGCTGATTTTTATGCTAGAGGAGTAATTTAGGTATCTTGGTTTAAATTGTTCTTATTGTAAAATGTTGTCTTTGTTGAAATATGTATGTATTCAATGTGCTGAAAATGAATTTATCAAAAACATTTCCATTTATTAGGATCAATAAAATAATCTTATTTATCTTATAAATTGACTCAGATTTGTATTGAGTTAAGGATGTGTACATTAATACCATTCAACAGACTTGTCATTTAGCTCAGTGAATAATTAGTTGTTGAAACTCAGTTAAAATATTAACAGAGGTCTTAAGAATGACTTTCCTGGTCACAATATTGTTTTCTATTTTCTTTTAGGATCAGTATCTGTTCTGCTATACAGCTTGTATGGAAGCTTTGCTAAGTTTGGAAGAAGACCTAAGCCAGTAAACTGTTAATCCGTTGATGTGAAATATTGTTAATTCTTTTGTGAAGAATGCTTCCGAAAATTTATTAAAACAACAAAATTTTAGCATTGGATTATCTGCATTTACATGACCAATAACTTATAAAGTGCAGTGAGTCTACCTGTTTGATTTTGAATTCATCTTCAGGTGGTTTCTCTAAGTATAAATCAGTTGTACTTTGAGGTAAACAGTTATAGATTAGTTTAAGGTTTGTAAAATACTTGTTCACAGCTGGCAAAAGTTCATTGAGATTCACTGTTTACAGAAACTACTGGGAGACATCTCCATTGAACATGTGTTGGCACTTGACAGTGAAGATTCTGCTATTTTAATTGACTTGAAATATATTAGATACTATGGCAGCAACATTTACTACTTAAAGCTAATAATGTGAGCCACTGTTTGATAGAAACATTATGTATCTGAGCAGCTTGGAACAAATTATGCAAGGAACACAAAAAAACTAACATTAGTCCACCAGTCAACAAACATACACCATTGCCCATTGTCATTTGGGGGTTCTAATTTTTGTGTGTTTTTTTTTTCATGTATTAGATTCTAAACAAATGTATGCTTGTAAAATTGTTTTGTACACAGTCTTGGTTTTAAAAAAAAGAATTTTGTGAATTTGTTATCTGCTGCTAGCAGATTGGATAAATCTCCCTCAATGTGATAAGATTGAATGTGATAAACTTGAGTGACCAGTGGTTTTTAATTTGGTTGCATAAGACTCCTAGAGACAACTACTGCAAACAACTGATGCAGAGTATTTTTATTTTTAACAGTAAATCTATCCGTCCATGTATACCTTCAATTTATTATTCATTGTTATTTGGATTGTTGGACATGATTTCACAATTTTTTTTAAGCCTGGGTAAGAGATTATCTTGTGATCTATTGCTGGATTTACAAGAATTTAATCAAGGTTTAATATCTGAGGACTTCAAAGCTTTTTTGTTTGCTTTTGTTTTAGTTAACAGTCAGTCAAAGTAAATTTGGACACATTTATAAAATAATGTGAAAATGTAATTTCATCATCCATGAACAGTTTTGTATTTATTAAAACTGAGGTGTGACTCCACATATTTAATGTAATAATTGAACTTGACTCCTTCATCAAAAATTTTACTGTATCAAGTTCTTGTACTTTCTGTTTGTATAGCCTTAAATATCCTGAGTTTATCTCATCATAAGTAGGACTGCGCAACAGAAACAATGTCGGTTTGAGCAAACTGCTAATAAAGAAATTATTGGTTAGAATTACAATGAAATAATGTTATGAGGCCATGGGATATGTAGACTAAAAGGGTTCATTAATATTTGCCCTGGAGACATTTGCAATAATTTTTTTTTTATTATTCAATGAAAGTATGTATGTATTTACTACTCATATATTTTCTCTTTCATTTTCAGTTTAAGAGCTAAAATCTGGTCATTAAATGCTCTTTTTTGTACTTTTTGTATTTACTGTGCAATATTTACTATAACTTTATATTCAAAGTATTTAACAAAGTTTGTAATAGTTATTGTATTCTCCTCATCAGAAATGTGTTAACATTTTAATACTGACTGTCACAGTATCGATTATAAGTTCAGTATTTAATTAGAAATTGTTAGTCATTGAAAACCAGTAATCAAACTTTTTGTATCAGTCAGTTAAATACCCAAACATGATATGGTAATCTGATTTTTTTCAAAATGTCTTTGGGAATTAACAGTTGGAGCATTTTTTTAGATTGTATTCTTTGTCAGAAAACGTACAATGCATTTTGATTTAACATCATTAATCATTGTAATTTTCAACAGTATATTAGAAATAGATGTGATTTCATGTATAAAAGCTTTGTGCATCTACAAAAAACAGAATCAAACAACTCATTGATATAACTTTGCATTTTTGTAATTGTTCATTTTTTTATAATGAAATCCAGGTGGGAGTCTACAGAAAAATCATTTCACACAAGAAATCGATCCACTTTAAAGGCTTTTAATAAACAAACGGTGCCTATAATGAATGTCTTTATTATAAGAGATGGACATTTTTACCAGGCAGATCCTTGTCAAACAGGAGGATAGTGGATTAATGTTGACTCGCATTCAAGTGTTGTTACAATAATTATGCATGATCAAAGGAAAATAGACCCTTCATTTAAGGATGCTTCCAAGAGTTACTTTGTCAATATCATTGTCACTCAGGTGGTTAAATGACAGTAATGTTTTAAAAAATACAATCTTCCTCAAAATATTCTAAGATGTATTAAACCTTGTTTACTTTAGAACCTTTGTTTATTTGGGAATTAAAAAAACATGAACTGACCTACAGGTGAAAATTAAATATACAAATTTATACAAGTCAACTTCATTATATTTGTTAATTATTTGACCACCTGAGTGTCACTTATCTGATTTCTTCAGCTGTTATGTAATTTTTACTTTAATTACTTCATTATACCTGTACCTTATTATTATATATACCTATGAGTATCTTTTATTTACATTCCTATAGTTATTAAAGCAGGTGTGAAATTATAACAATATCTAATTAGCAAGCACCAACCAACAATGTCTCTAGAGCATTGTAATACCTGCATGTGGAAGTTTACAAAATAAAATTATTTATAGAACAAAATTATTAGTTGTTCCTTTTAAGATGTGAAAATGTTGTGTGTAAATTAAATAGTAAATTACTCTTGAAATTGCTTAACCCACGAAGTGTGGTCGGCCGATAAAAAACGTGGTCAGATAACATCTTCCATTCCAATATTTAACCGAAATTATAGCCACTTCCTTTTATTTATAATTAAATCATCTTCCGGGTCAAGTTATTTGTACAATAAGTACTTTTTAATCGGAGTGTTATATCGCTGTTCATTGTCCCAGTTTTTGTTTAGCTCAAATGGATGAAGCTATGGCTGGGAGAACTAATAGAAATATTTTTGAAAGCTTTTTAGTAGAGAATTTAAGTGATACTGATGATGATTTTAACATTCCCCATGACGACCTCAGTTCGGATTCTTCTTCTACTTCCAGTTTTAGTGAATCTGATCCTATTTCTAGTGATACTTTAAGTAGGCCTACTGTTAGACTTCGAGCCAGGCCCAGAGGTCAAGGACTGACAGAATGTTAGTCACAGAAGCTATAGATCAGAATAATTTTTTTTTTTAGTTACAATCCACATCAGTTCCTTTTTAAATGTTCACTTGTCAATAACTTTTTTGCCTGAGGTTTTGTATGTAATGCTTGGTTTTAGCTGTGGTCCCAGTTTATTTTGTTCAATAATATTAATTCATTACCTAAAATTACTAAAGTTGCTTTTAGAGGCTTATTTGTAATGGAAACCTTAGCATTTTCTGAGCATTGCCAACCACAAATTTTAAAGTATTTAAATGGAATCTATAAAAATTAATGAGCACTTAAAAGCAAGACATTTTGTCGATTTTTCCCTTGAGCACTCCAAGGTCAAGTCACTAAACAAAAAAAAAAATTATGGGGTGGGTAATATAGCCAACTTTATCCCCATCCATTTACCTTTCTAAAAATATATACTAATTGGGGTCTCGTATCAATATTGCTATGTCATTAAATGCTATTTCAAAAGACACTCAAAAAGCCCTCAAAAGTTCCCACACCACAGCATGATTCTATACCACATTACTTGGGTTAAGAGATTAAAATTGTCATTTGTATTACTTTACAATTCCCCAAATTTGTTTTGTTAAATAACCTATGGACTGCCCGTTGAAGTTGTCCATTCAACAATGTCCATAAAAAAAAGTATTTGAATAGAAACTTGCAAAATATATTACAAAAAAATACCAAAATAATTTAAGTGCATTTATTGGCATTTAATTCCTCCATCATAAATAAAATTATTTACAGACAACAGGATGTTACGTATTAACACGGTATCTATTATAAGATTGCTTAAACAAAATTGGTGAAGACCATAAACAAACTGTAAACAGATTGAACCATATTCTGGATGTGGCTGCCATAAATATTTATTAAAAAAACCAACACATTAAGCAGATCTCCAAAAATGAAAGTAATGTTTCAAATATTAAATTAAAAAATGTAATAAGAAATTGACAAAATGAAATTATTTTTGCCAATAAATATGTGATTAAGGAGCAGTAAAATGTAACTCATTACATCAACTTACACATAAACAGCTTATGGCTTACACATAAAAGCCCAATATGGCATCTCTCATAAATATAACTAGATAATCAATAGTTGCAGTGCAGTTTCAAAACAAGGAAGGGATGACCAAAAGAAGATTACCTGCAGTAAATGCAGTCAGTCTACACAGACATTTTTGTTAATTTTGCACAATAGAAAAATAAACATTTGTCTCATTACTTATTATTTAGGAATGCTCTTCTTAATATTTCCTTTATGAAATTCTCTGTGGATTATAAACTTTGTAAATGAATTTTATCAAATACATCTAGTATTAATACTGGGATTCAAATTATGAAGCGATTAGCAGCACCGAATTATGCTGTGTTTCAAATACAAAACAAACAACCAGAGCATTGATCATTTTTAAAAAAAACTTAATCTAATGAGGATAGGCAAAACTTAACAAGTTAAACAAGCAACAATTAAATTTAACAGTAATCTAGCACACAGGTCCATTCCCTATGTTCAACAAGGCCTATTTACAGTTAACAATATAATACCAATGTACAACTATCACTCATAAATCATGCCAAAAAGTCACAGATCAGAAATATATCTCTCAGAAGGCTGTTCACAACCTCAGCGTTGTAATTTTCATAAATATCATAAGGTCTCACAGAAAATTGCTTTATGGCTCATTTTAAACATGGCAATAAAAAATACAAGCAAAAAAAAAAATCTGATGACAATGAAAAGCTATTTAAAAAAAAAATAAAAAAATTCAACCCACTTTCAAATTTATCTAGGACTTAAGTAATGTGGAGAAGCAACTAGAGAAAAAATGAAGTGTTAAAGTCAGTGTAACAATTTGTTGGATTGGAAGAGAATTGTATCCTGTATTTGTTTTTGTGCACTGAGAAAATTTACAAACACTTTTATTTCATTGCTTCATACATAAACATAAGTGTGTCAACATTGAGATTTAAACAAAATTATAAAATATATATCTCTTTAATACAGTTTTGATGTACGATTAGATCAATGATGATTGGACGGTGATTAAGAAACATTTTGGATTTGAGTTTAGTACATTTTAAAACATATGGTATCTTATGGGAAGGCTTAATAAGTGAGTAAAACAAGGAATTTCTGGTAAAATGGTCAATTATCTTTGGCTTGGATTTTATATTTCAATTAAACAATTGGATTTTATCATTTCTATTCAATAATAATTGTATTAAGTATGAATATTACTCATCTTTAGCTCATTACAATTATTACAACTAAAAACTAGTTTAAAGAAGTTTAGGAAATAGTTTTAAATTTTTTAATGAAGCATAGATTCACAGCCTTGGAAATCGATGAATTGATAATTTGTTACAGTGTCGAGTCACCCTGTTGGATCCCCCTAACTATAATCTTGAATCTTCCTAAATTTTTGTCTCATATTAGTTATAATGGAGAATCCTAACAAAATAATCAAAATTATTGCTTCTCAAGAAAATATAGATGACAAAGAGCAAAAATATAAACTATGAGCAATTTGTAAAGGCTGAACTGAATTTATGAATGAAGCAGCAACAAAAAAATGCAGTATGTGCACAATATCTGAATTTATCCAACGGGGTCAGCAGCAACCAAACAAAACAACAAACAAACCATTGTGGTATGAATTATGTCATCTGACTAAATAAATGTGAAATAATTTTAACATTCTGCACGGTCTTGTAAATATCAATTGCCCTATTACAGTTCAACTATTAATCTCCATAAGTGGTGTTCACATCTTGGACACTTTACTCATTGGGAAACAGTTGTGACAAATCCCAGAGATTCTAACCATTAAATGAAGATGGTTTAACTAGCCTTGGCGAGGCATTTCTTTCCTTATGCCAGTGTTGGCTCATGCACTGGATGAGGCTTGTAGTAGATTTTTTATTTCTTCAAGTCTTCGCTGCATTTTATTCTTTGCTATTTCATATCTGGAAAAAAAAATATATAAAATGTTAAACAGTACTTTAGAAATTCAGATACAAATTGTTCCACAGTAATCAGTCAAATAACTTTCCATAAAACTTGTTCCTACTGGTTATATTTTGCCTAAGTCTTTTTCCACAATAATTTCTTTTTTAAATGTACAAGATAAAGATAAATTAAAAATATAGATATACTTGGCTTTAAGAGATTGCACTTCCTTCTCCTCATCATTGTGAAACTTGGCCAGTAAACCCCGTAACACAGCTTCAGGAAGAACCAGAAGTTGCTCCACCTGATGTTACAAAAACATTTAACTATTAAGGAAGACATATTTATTTTTCATAATATTGTTTAAAAAAAAAAAAATTAACATTTTTAAAAAAAATCACTCTTACATTACTGTAAATGCTTAAAATTTTGTGTTTGAAATAACAAAAATGTATAATGATGTTAAATATATTCATGGAAATTAAAAGTGGTTACAGTTGCAAGGCGACATCACACTGAATGTGCTCAAAACACTTTCACACCCTTAAAATCCTTATTGCTTCTTAAGAGAGTTGAGAAGACAAAAAATAAAATGCTTATTTTAACTATGTCTACACATGTCTAGAAACTGTGAAAAAGCCTCACATCATGTGGTAAATTCTCTTCTGTCGTTTCAGCGATAGGTATTTTGATGCTAGAGTTATGCTTGCTACTCCAAACCTCTGGCTCTCTTTCTCTTATGAAGATTTTACCCATTGTTTCATTGGGTCCCAGCTTTAACCTTTCCAGAAGTGGTTTGTCTGCACTGGTCAGGATACGTTCACCTAACCCATTTGAATAGTCACAGGTAGAAGATTTTAAAAAAAATATTCAATGAAAGGTTCTAAAACTATATAAATTTAGCCTAGAGGGTGTTCAGAGTTAATCTTTAACTATTGGAGAAATAAATTAAATGATACCAAGCTTATATCAACTAGTTGTTGAACCTATACAAATTAGCATCCACAAAGAGTTCACTATTTACCTTCTTCACTAAGGATGGAGAGAACATATTCATTAGGGTTGTTTTGAACCTGTGTTTTAACAAAAAATAAATCAGCAATGAAATTTTTTTACAAACTGTGAGGTCCTATAAATGAATATAAGGGCTAGAAAAATATGGACAATTTTATAAATATAGGTTTTGAGAGTTTTTAGACCAAAAGAAATTTATAAATTACAGTGCTTTTTTGTTACAGAGTGCAACATAAGTATAAATAGTGTTATGTAACCAAATATACATTTGGATTTTTACACCAACCTTGAATTTATCCAGGAGAGTTACAATAACATCATCTGATGTCAACGACCCATCCACAGTAACACTGGTGCAGCTGCCCAGCACAGGTGTGAACACACTGGTCTGGAAAAAACAAAGTATTTTAGTCATATCATAAATCAATCTCACAAACAAACATTTTAAGCCATGAAAATTCATAGAGCTTGATTAAATTGCTTTAATGAGGATCTTTCAAGTTAAAGGGGTTCAATA